CAGCCCCCGTGCCTCCGGCCCCTGCGCCGCCGGAGCCCAGGAGGGGAAGTGCCCGGCCGGGGGCGCAGGGTTTGGAGGCATAGGGGCTGCCCGAAGCCCAAGCGCTACCGGCTTCACGGTTTGCCGGGCAGGCCTCCAGACCCTGCGCCCCCGGCTGGGCGCTTCCCCTCCCGGGCTCCAGCTGCGCTGCGGAAGTGCCGGCCGGGGGCGCAGGGTCTGGGGGCTGCCTGGCAAACCGTGAAGCTGGTAGCGCTCGGGCAGCCCTTTCCGCGTGGCTGGGAGTGAAAAGGAGGAGGGGGCGGAGTTAGGGTGGGGTTGGGCGGGGAAGGGGCGGAGTTGGGGTGGGGCTGGGAAATGGGCGGGGCCAGGGCCCCGTGGAGGGTCCTCTTTTTTTATTTGTTAAATATGGTAACCCTAGAGATGCCGGAGTCAGTGGTTAAATAGGAAGGTGGATCTGGCAGCTTTACATATTCCGGGGAGAGCCGGGCAGGTAGGAAATAAAAGGGGCTGAATTCAGCGAGGGGCACAGGCCGGGTGAGGGGCTGGCTGGAGGCGTAGAGCTGCCAGGGTCAGGGTGTGACCTGATAGGGAAGAGCAGAGACCAGAACCCTCAGCGGGGAAACGGGACACTGAGGAAATAGAATGGGAAGAATTATTCTCCCCCAGCCTCAGGACATCACCTACAGAACGGGACGTTTCTTTGCTCTGTCTTGTTGTAATTTAGCCCCCTATGCCAAAGCCGCTGCCCAGCTCTTTGTAACACACACTCCCCGCCAGAGGCCATTGCATCCCTGCCCTGAACAGACGTTCAGCAATGAAGGATGGAATCTGCCTGGGTCCCATCAATCTACCCCCTTATGGCCTAGGGCAGGATGGGTCTCCCCAAGGAGGCCTGGCTTGTGGTTAAGGCACCGGGCGGTGAATCAGGTGCTCTATGATTGGTTTGGGGCAAGTCCCTGAGGCTGAGATTTTTCCAGCAGACAAAAGAAGTAAGGGGCCCAGTTTGCATTGCAATGCCCTGGGATCTGGAGACACAAATTGCCTTGGCGCCTTTGAAAACCCCAAGCTACAATGACTTTTTAATAGTTCAGCATCCAACCCTGAATGCCCCTAGTCAGTCTAGATCACCAGGTCTATAGACGCGGCCCTGAAATATTCAGGGTGCACAGACAACCCTTTAACTCTGCCCGTCTGAGCGTATGTGTTACAATGACACCTTTAATTGCTCCGTAGCTTATTGTGTAACCAGACAAGACAATGTGCCCCAGAAGCACCATTCAGCCTTGTTTAGTGGGGTGCAAAATCATGATAAAGTCACGGTGGGTAAAATTCAAGGGCAGGCTACAGCATGGCCTTTGACGTAGATGTCTGGCATTCCTTCTCCTTAGTTAATTGGTTAGGGTTTGAAAAGCAGCCTGAAGGAGGGAAAGATAAGTAAGGCTATTTCTGCCTTGGTGACAGGTTTCAGAGGGGTAGTCATGTCAGCCTGTATCAGCAAAACAACGAGGAGTCTTTCTGGCACCTTAGAGACTAACACATTTATTTGGGCATACGCTTTCATGGGCTAAAACCCACTTCATCAGCTGCATGGAGTGAAAAATACAGTAGGCAGGTATATATATTACAGCAACAGAGGGAAAATTACTTTTTGTGGTGCTAACAAGGGTGGATGTGGTCCATTCCCAACAGTTGACAAGAGTATCAACAGAGGGAAAATTACTTTTTGTAGTGCCCCAGCCGCTCCCCGTCTTTATTAAGGCCTAATTTGATGGTGTCAAGTTTGCAAATTAATTGCAGTTCTGCTGTTTCACGTTGGAGTCTATTTTTGAAGGTTTTTTGTTGAAGAATTGCCACTTTTAAATCTGTTATTGAGTGTCCAGGGAGATTGAAGTGTTCTCCTACTGGTTTTTGAATGTTACAATTCTTGATGTCTGATTTGTGGCCATTTATTCTTCGTGTAGAGACTGTCCGGTTTGGCCAATGGACATGGCCTATCCCTCTGTTGATATTCACCCCTTCTCGTCAACTGTTGGGAATGGGCCACATCCACCCTGTTTGAACTGGCCTTGTTAGCACTGACCCCCGACTTGGTAAGGCAACTCCCATCTTTTCATGCGCTGTATATTTATAGCTGCCGACTCTATTTTTCACTCCATGCATCTGATGAAGTGGGTTTTAGCTCATGAAAACTTATGCCCAAACAAATGTGTTAATCTCTAACGTGCCACAAAGACTCCTCGTTATTTCTGCCTTGTTGGTCAATACATACGGTGGTCCCTGCCCTATCAGCATAGTGAGGTTTTCATGAGCAATGTGCATTTGCAGAGGACTGAAGCCCAGACAAGTGACTGGAGACTGTATAATCTGTGCTCCTCTCTGTCTGAACAGCTCTGTCATGGCAATGGGCAGGATGGAGGTTTGCATCGGAGGTTTTTGTGCTAAGGCAGGAGGTGTTTGTTTTCTGTGTCTCTCGCACAGTAACACAGGGCGGTGCCTTCCCTTAATCGCCATACGTCCGGGTGCCTCTCGGTCTGTCCCTACATTGTGTCTTGTCCCTTGGTGAAGGTCTGGAAAGTGAGTGGTGGATTGTGGGCGCCGCCATGAACATAATCACTGCTATTTTAATTAATATTCCCCAATTATGAAGAATACTATAAGAAGAACGGGGAAAGTGTTTGTAACTCTCCATAGAAGTTTTGGATAACTGCTCCTCCTACTCCTCCAAAATTTGCCTGAGTGACTTAGGAACGCAAGTTCCCATTGACTTTCAATTTCACTTGTGCTCCTGAGTCACTTAGGTGATTTTTATGAACATCACACTTAACTGGGGCCTCGCTGTTCCAGGCACTGTAGGATTCTATAACAAAAAGACAGTCCCTGCCCATAAAAGTGTCCAGTCTGCGTTTATGACCAGAGGCATCAGGTGGGGCCAACAAACAGATTGGGCAGCACAAGGGAACAAGGAGACCATCAGAGAGACTGTGATTAGCAGAGCTCACAGCACAGCGCCTGCCAAACCATTGTGTTCTAGGTGTGCTGATGGCACAGGTGAAGGGA